GGAACAGGAACTTCCATATTATCTAAACAGGTTCAAAATAAACCAAAAACTGGTCGAAGTTTATTAGGAGGACCAGCTGCTCTTAGCCCATTAACCCCAAGGTAAGTCAAACAAAAAGTTAGTTCAAAATGTATTGTAATATTTTGTGATCTTACAATGGCTCATATGATTAATAATATAAATTAACATGCACAGCAATTTCCTAAATTACTGTGGATAAAAGTGGATGTGATTAAAATTTTTGTATATTTGTTTTATTTTATTTGTGGTGCTGGGGATCATACCCAGGGCCTTGCACATGCTATACAAGTGTTTTACCACTGAGTTATATGCCTAACCCCTGGAAAAATTTTTAAAACTCTTAAATATGTCTTAATTATCTTTAATGTATGCATTGAAAAATACTACCTTTATGGCTGTACATCAGTAGATGGCAGTGAACCCCTTGAAATGTTGTTATGCCTATGATATAACCATAGCAACACCAGTTTGGGGTTTTTGTTTGTTTTGAGGTTTTTTTGGGGGGGGCGGGTATCAGGGATTGAACTCAGGGCCACCAGACCACTGAGCCACATCCCCTGCCCTATTTTATATTTTATGTAGAGACTGGGACAGGGTCTCACTGAGTTGCTTAGGGCTTTGCTAAGTGGCTGAGGCTGACTTTGAACTTGCAATCCTCTTGCCTCAGCCTCCCAAGCCACTGAAATTACAGGCGTGCACTACTGTGCCTAGCTAACATCAGTGGGCTTTTTCAGTACATTTTTCTAAAACATGGAGGAAGTATTGACATCAGTCAGTGAAATGTTTTGTCAAAATTATTGGAAGTATATGTATGTATAAATATAGGAACCCATCCAAGAGGGGTACATATCTAAAAGTGTCAAAAAATTATATGCTATGAATGGGGCTTTGGGCCCAGGGAACTACTAAAATAACTTGACTGTGAGATGACAGTGCCCTTAGACACCATTGTATAATTATACTGATAATTATTAGATAAATATCCACACTGTCTAGAGACATTGTCTCCATAATTGTATCTAAAACCCAGAGTCTAAGAATTTTGTTTGTGGTGCTAGGGATCATACCCAGGGCCTTGCACATGCTATACAAGTGGTCTACCACTGAGTTATATGCCTAACCCCTGGAGAAATTTTTAAAACTCTTAAATATGTCTTAATTGTATGCATATCAGCTTTTATAAAGCCACTCTTCTTTATTTTTAATGAACCTCCTGAGATCTGTAGTTGTATCTCAGTTTAGTTCCATTTTTTATTTTTTATTATTTTTTAGTGTTAGGAATGGTGGGTGGTGTAGTCTTCATTCACAGCTTATTTTTAATCTGCCCCTCAGGTCCTCACTGCCCCCAAGACTGATTTGCCATTCTCTTCCTTTTAGACCTTCTAATTTAAGTATACTGCTGCTTTATATATGCCTTGATGACTTTTTGACACCTTGATTTCAACCTCTTCTCAGTTTTGGGATTTTGCCATTAGAAACCCCAAGTCCTGGAGATGGATCCTATTTACAAAACTACACTAATACACCTTCTGTAATTGATGTGCCATCCACCGGAGCCCCTACAAAAAAGGTATTTTACATGTAAAATGCAATTTTGTATTGATTTTTTAAAAATTCTTTAAAATTCCAATCTGTAAAGATAAATTAAATTAAGAGAGAATTTAAATTTTTCTGTAATTGTTTTTGCCTTAGAGTTGTTGATCAAAATATAAAAGAATATGATCGTCCTAGCTTCATGGTTATCTTAGATACATAACTGGTGATTTTTTTCAACCAACTAACATTATAACTCGTTAGTTCATCAGCATATAGCTAGTAAATATATTCATTTTTGCTTTTAATTCCTTTTTAAAAACAAAATTAAGATTGTTTCTATATTTTGAATATAAATTACAAATCATGTCTGCCATAGTTTTTATTTGTTCCCACTGCTGTCTATATAGGGTGTTGTTGTTGTTGTTGTTATGGTAATGGTTTGTTGGGGTTTTGTGGGGCGGGGGGTTTGGTTTTTTTGTTTTGTTTTTTCAGTGTTGGGGATCAAAGCCAGGGCTTTGCACGTGCTAGCCTAGTGCTCTACCACTGAGCTGCACCCCAGTCCATGTTTTTTAAATAGCACTAATAAATGACATGAAAAAAAATTTGCTCAGGTAAGCAAGATATTTCTGATAATACGATTTTTATGGTGGATTTTCATAAATATATAGTAAAAGTAAAAATATTTGATAGTATAATTATTATAAGCACTGAAAAAATTTTTTGAGGCTCTTTATATAATGTTCTTTTATATAGATGTACTAGTAGAACAAAGTACCGTTTGTGTGAAACATTTCTGTGGTGTAGGATATCTTCTGTGAGAATTAAATCATGTATTTTAAATGCCTACTGCTATGCTTAATAGATGTTTAAGAAATGGAAACTAATTAAGTCATACTAATATATGAATAACAGATGTAACCTCTTACCTTCTAGAAATGTTTCTTTTTTTGTTATTTTTTGTTGTTTTACTCCTGATGAACATTGCAAATCTGCTAAAGTTTTGTTGTTGTTTTTTTTCCTCCCCTCTCTCTCCTGCAAAAGCTATATCTATAATTCCTTAGTGGAAATAGAAAATTCAAAACTATAAAAAAAAAAAAAAAAAGAAGGACCTGTAAAGTAGTTTACATATGAACTATTGAATTGTTTCAAACCTGATTTTTTTTTTTTAAGTCGATAACTGTGGGTGTGTTGTTATAGGAGCAAACTATTTCTGTGGAATTAGTTTATTACAGTTGTGAAGAAGACATGGTAGAATGGTTGTGTGCCAGGTAAAGTAGACCAAAACCAGAAGAGTCATAGCAGCTCAAAGACAAGTTATTGTGTGTAAGCGATAAAATACACACACTGTCTCATCCTTTTCTGCCTCCCTTCTCTTCTTGCCCCTTACACAACATTTCCAGAAGAGTTACATGTATCGACTAAAAAATAATCAGGCCAAATAGTGAATGCAGTATATAATTCTTTGATAAATAAGGAAGGACTAGAAGTGACTATAAGTTTGTCCTTTGAGTGAATGTGGAGGTCCCAATTTTGGGAAGGAAGAGGAAGGATTATAAAGTATTATTCTGAGGTGATGGTAGGGTAGGTGAAAATATTCAGTGGGTAGTTGTAGAGGAAATAATTTATCCAGTGATAGAAATAATAAATGTCCCAACTTTCCTAGAGAAAAAGTAGCTAAGGAACACAGTACATATACCTCATTTTAAAACTGTAGAATAAAGGGACGCCAGCAAATGAAGTGAGAGCACAGTCAAGACAGTGGACTGTTTAGGAAGTTGTACAGACTTTCAAAACAGAGGAGAGAGGATAACCAATGATATTGAATTTAGAAAAGACAAAACATAAGGCCTTCAAATCTGCTGAGAACGTTTTTTTTTTTTTTTTTTTCCTCTTTTGGTGGTGCTGGGGATTGAACCCAGGGCCTTGTGCATGCAAAGCAAGCACTCTACCAACTGAGCTGTATCTCTAGTCCCCTGAGAAAGTTATTAATAAGTATTTGTAATAAACTTTTTGATAATTTTTGTACACAATATCAGGATAACAGTAACTTTTGAAGAAAATTATCTGGTGGTTAAAAAAAAAGTCCATTGAAGCTGAGCTTGGTGGCACACACTTGTAATCTTGTAATTCCAGCAACTCAGGAAGCTAAGGCAGGAGGATCTCAAGTTTGAAGTCCATCTAGCAATTTAACAAGACCCTGTCTTAAAAATAAAAGAACTGGAATGTAGCAGAGTGGTAGATGAGGTTCAATTTCCAATACCAAAAGAAAAAAAAATCCATTGATATCAAAGATCACTTTATACAGAAATTAAATGGTAGCAACTTAGTGAGGTCCTAAGCAACTTAGCAAGATCCTGTCTCAATAAAAATGAAAAGGGGGCTGGGGTTGTGGCTCAGTGGTAGAGTGCTCGCCTATCATGTGTGAGGCCCTGGGTTTGATCCTCAGCACCACATAAAAATAAATAAATAAAATAAAGGTATTGTGTCCAACTACAACTAAAAAATAAATATTTAAAAGATAAATGAAAAGGGTTCGGAGTGTATCTGAGTTTAATCCCCAGTACAAGAAAAAAAAAAAACTAAATGGTAAAATGAATAGAAAGAAGATAATGAGTCAGAGTAGACAGAAGAGGCAAGCAAAGATCTTTTTTTTTTCCCCCTTCAAGGGGATCAAAAACCACTTAATGAAAGATTGGAAAAAAAAAGAAAGAAATAGTAACAATAAAGAGCAGTATCTTTTGAATTTTGAAAGTTTTCATGATTTTTAAAAATCTATTCCTATGAACTTCTATAGAACTGTTTTACTAAGTGCCAAAAGAGGAGTAAAAAATCTTATTGTATTGCTATTTCTTATGTATAGGAAGTTAAATCCTAAAATAGTAGCTGTCTTAAAATTTTTTAGCACTTAGCCCCAAATTGAGAAGGTATGCAATAAACAGAGGATGTTCACAACGAGTTAAATAGAATAGTTCCTTGGAATTTGAGCCTTTCTTTTGAAACTGAAGTGAAAGATGAAAAGATAGTAGAGAAGTAAAATTCCTTTGTTAAAATGAGGAAATAGATTATTATTCATACTAATAGCAACTGACAGTAATGATATTCATAATTTGTATTTTAAGATAATATATATTATGAGCTCTTTCATTACAAAAATGTAGATGGGAGCATCATGGTGTCTTTTATCGCTTATACTGCAATTGATAATCACAAACCTTAGACTTTTTGTGTTTTACAGTCTGTTGCCAGAATGGGCCAAACTGGAACAAAGTCTGTCTTCTCACAGAGTGGAAATAGTCGCGAGGTCACTCCAATTCTTGTTGCACAAACACAAAGTTCTGGCCCTCAAACAAGGTATTTATTGTGATGTTATCAGTTCCCATTGTTCATCTTTTCTTGCTGTAAAACCTTCTTCTTTATATTTTTGGGTATTGACCCACAAATTTCTAATGTAGCCAGACATGGTGGTTCATGCCTATAATTCAAGCAGCTTGGGTGGCTGAGACAGGAAAATCACAAGTTCAAAGCCAGCCTTAGCAATTGCGAGGCGCTAAGCAACTAAGTGAGACCCTGTCTCTAAATAAAACATAAAATAGGGCTTGGGACGTGGCTCCTGAGTTCCCCTGAGTTCAATCCCTAGTGTATGTATATGTATATGTGTATGTATGTGTGTGTATATATATATATATATATATATATATATATATATATATATATATATATTTCTAATGTAACTGTTATAAATTTTGAATATGTAAAACTTGAAATCTGTGACTTCTGAAAAGACTTAATATAATTTTTACTTGAATTTTATAATGCAAATAACACAATAGTTACCTAAAACAACTTTTTCCAATACTCTAATTACCTCTTAGTGTTTTTTGTTGTTATTGTTTTTTTGTTGTTGTTTCATTTGTTTGTTTGTTTGTTTGTTTTGGTAGTGCTGGGAATTGAATCCAGGGCCAGGTGCATGTCATGCAAGCACTCTACCAACTGAGCTATATCCCCAGCCCTCTTAGATTTTTTAATATTATAAACATTATAAATAATATAAACATTTCCTCAGAGAAATTTCTTTTTATGTATATGACCTTCTCTGCAGATCAAGTACAGATAGATTTCATTATCCCCTCCCCCCATTATGCACTTCTATACATAGATTATAAAATTAATCTTCAAAACTTCAAATTCAGAATTCTTAAAATAGACACAAATGTGCATATTCTTTGACTGTCTAAAAGGTCTCAATGTTGCTCTACTACAAGGATGATAAGTGTAATAATGAATGCCAGCTTGCTGATAGTGATTGCCTGAGGCTCATTATGAGAAAGAGCTGAGGCTTCTTACAGAGCAACATTACATAGGCTGAGTATATGCTAACCCTAAAGAATATATAAACCTACATGTAATTATCAACTATATATTTTGCATTGTTTATGCCATTTTTATCTATTTTTTTGCTTGGATTTATTTTCTAAAGCTGCCGTAAAACATGAGTATTCCTAATCTAAAAATCTGAACTGCTCTGAAATCTAAAACTTTTTGAATCCCAGCACAACACTCAAAAAGTTTCAAGTTTTAGAGTATTGTAGAGTCCAGATTTTCAAATTAGGATTGCCCCACTAGTAAAATTTATTATATAAATATTACAAATTTGGGGGGGACAACTCTGCAATCTGAAACACTGGTCCCAGGCATTTTGATAATGGATATTCAGCCTGTACCACAATCTGGGTGGCTTAAAACATCAGAAATTTATTCTTTCCCACTTTTTACTTTTTTTCCTTTAGACCATGTTGCTAAAATATAATCTCTGTTTTAAAGCTTATAAATTTGAAATCAAGTTGTTGGCAAGGCCATTCCCCCTCCAAAGTTTGCAGAGGAGAATCCTCCTTTGCTACTTGAAGCTTCTGATAGGTTTGTGACAGCATAACTCAAGATATGTACTTATATCTTCACATGGCAATCTTCCCTGTGTGTCTCTTTCCAGATTTCCCTCTTATAAGTATGACAGTCATACTGGATTAGGGGACACACACACACATACACACTTATAATCTCAACTTGATACATCTGCAAAGACTCTATTCTAAATAGTCAAATTCACAGGTACTGAGGGTAAGGTCTTCAACATATTGAAATTGTTTCACAGTTTACTAATACTCTGTCCGTTTTTGTTTCTGGGCTTTTTCCACTCTGTTTCGTTTTGGATAATGACGAATTTACTGTTAATCCAATCCAGTGGGGAGTTGTTGTTTTTTTTTTTTGTTGTTGTTGTTGTTGTTGCTTTTTAATCTCAGACACTCCTTTTTCATCTCTAGAAATTTGATTTGCTTGTCTCCTTACTTACCCATGCTTTCTTCTACCTTTTTAAATAGTCGGAAAATATTTATATTGGTCCTTTTAATGTTTTTGTCTAAAAGTCTATTACTGTGTCATTCCTAGTTGTGTTTCTTATTGATTGGTGTTACATTGTTGAATGCTGGGAGCGGGGAGGTACCAGGGATTGAACTCAGATGCACCCGACCACTGAGCCACATCCCCACCCCTTTTTTGAATTTTATTTAGAGACAGGGTTTCACTGAGTTGCTTATGGCCTCTCAAAGTTGCTGAGGCTGGCTTTGAATTCGTGATCCTCTTGCCTCAGCCTCCTGAGCCACATAGCAACTGGAATTTTTTTTTATTATTATCATTTCTTTAGGTATTTCTAAGATTTGTTCTGGGATGCAGCTAGATTATTTGAAAACAGTTTGATTTTTTTTTTTTGTTTGTTTGTTTTTTGTTTTTGTTTTTGTTAGGTGGAACAAGAGCAGTCTTTAAAGTAGTTTTGCCCTGCTATTGAAAGAGTACTCTTTATGGCCTATTTAGTATGAGATTTCTGCCCTCTGCCTATTCCCAATCACAAGCGCCAAGAACTGTTCTGCCTACTCCTTTATAGTAGTTCTTACCCCACCCAGTGTTGAGTGGTTTCCTCATGGCAATACTGTAATGTAATTCTGATGCTAATCACCCAGACTTAGACTGGACTCCAAAGATTAAGATCAGCCTGCAACAAGAACTATCTGAAATGTCCTCAGTTCAGACACCAGTTGCAGGTGCAGAGTTCCCCAGGCCACCTGCATTTCTGATCAACTTAGTAAAAATTGAGGGTTCCTATTACCCCTTCATATTCAGTAAGTTGCTAGAACAACTCAGAACCAGGAAAATACTATACTTATGATTAGAGTTTTATTGTGAAGAATACAAATCAGGACCAGATAACTGAAGAGACTCTATGGTGAGGTTTTGGGAGGGTCCCAAACACGGACTTTTATGTTCGTTTCATGGAATCAGGACCTATGTTTAGAGACCAGGAATTTCAACTAAGGTTTGATGTTCAGAGTTTTAATGGAGATTGAATTATGTAGACATGGTTGATGAAATCATTGGGCATGTGATTAAACTCAGTCACCAGCCACCTTGCCCTTCCTGGAGGAGGTCAGGCTGATGTCACCTGGCTTTAAGGCTCAACTCTAATCACATGGTGGATCTTTGCAGCGTGGCCAACCCCATCATTTTCTCCACATAAAGTATCCTTCAGAATTTATTTCTGTAAATTTTCTAAGATGTTTTTGTTAACTACCAGAACATTTTGCTTTAAAACCAGAAAAAAATAGTGCTATTTACATAAATTTATTAAACAATATAACTGACATATAATGTATATGCCTAATGATGGCAGTAGAACCTTAATTTCAAGCTGTGGCAATCTAGTTCCAGAGCATATTCCTTTCATTGCTAAACCCCTAGTTAACCAAATGGAAATTATACAGATTCATGTATTGGTTACATAATATGAACTAAATTAATTTTTCTGGTGCCTCAGACTTAGGGCTTCTTTCTCCTTACATCAAGTGGGCCTTTGGAGCTAACAGAAGCCTAACAAAAATTATAAGACTGTATCTACTCTATAAGAAGAGTTTATCCTCCCAGCTCTAAAACTCTTCTTACTAATTTTTACTTCTACCTCCACAAAATTTGTGTTACTCTCATTCAGTGAGTGTTTTCTTTAAAACAATCTTAGCAACATCTTCAGGTTTGTCCCACTTGCCCCATTTGATGAAGTTCTTTCCTCCTACTTCTTGACAAAACTCTTCTGTGATCAAGTAATCATGTTGACAGTACAATTCACATTTTTAAAAATTTTTTTAGTTGAAGATGGACACAATATTTATTTTTATGTGGGGCTAAGGCTCGAACCCAGTGCCTCTAGTGTGCTAGGCAAGTGCTCCACCACTGAGCCTAGCCCCACAATTCACATTCATAGTATAAATTATAATAGTTATTTCTACCAAATTGAGGTTATTGGACTTTTTGGGGGGGTGTTACTGGGGATTGAACTTGGGGTACTTATCCACAGAGCCACATACCCAGACTTTTTAAAAAATATTTTAGTAGAGACAGGGTCTTACTGAATTGATAAGGGCCTCACTAAATTGCTGAAACTGGCTTTGAACTTGGCTCCTTCTGCCTCAGCTTCCTGAGCTGCTGGGATTACAGGCTTCCACCGCTATGCCTGGCGAGGTTATTGTACTTTTAAAAATGAATTGGTCAACCCAAGTGTTCTTACTTGCCTAATATCCCTGCACTGGGGCTCTGTGTTTTGAAAGAAATAAGAATAATCCTGGACATGATTTACTCACTGGGCAGTATCTCTCTCTTTCTCTCTTTTTATTAAAAAACCTTTTAATTTCAGACTTAGGTACCTATTTGTAGAATTTCCTAAAAATTATAAACTTAACCTAATCCCAGTTATATCATTTAAGTTTTAAATTTGCTTGCTTTCTAAGAATGGAATTCTTAGGGTTTGCCTTTAAAGTAAAAATATATCCAATGATTGTCAGACTCCTTTTGCTCTAACCAGAATAAACCTTTGATACAGCTGTTTGAATTTACAGGGAAATTATTTCTCAACTTTCAGTTGTTCTAGTGGTATTTATTTGTTAAAAAATGCCCAACATTTAGATGATCCATACCTGATAGAAATTTCCTTTTTTTCTCTAATTTTTTTTTTTCTTTTTTTTTGAGCGGGTGGGTGCTGGGGATTGAACCCAAGGGCATTTAACCACTGAGTCACATCCCCATCCCTTTTTATTTTTTATTAGGGACAAGGTCTCTTATAGGTTGCTTATAGCCTCTAAGTTACTGAGGCTGGTTTCAAACTTGTGATCCTCCTGCCTCCGCCTTCTGAGCCACTACGATTATAGGCATGCACGCCATGCCCAGCTCATGTTTTACATTTTTTGAAAATATATTTAATTTCTGACATAACTCCCTTTTTTTTTTTTTTTTTAACATTTCTACAATTTCTATTTATTTATTTATTTAGAAACAGAGTCTCACCGAGTTGTTTAGCGCCTTGGTTTTTGCTGAGGCTGGCTTTGAACTCACAGTCCTCCTGCCTCAGCCTCCCAAGATGCTGGGATTATAGGCGTGCGCTACCACACCTGGCCCACTTCCCTAACTTTTTTATGCATGCGAATAAAGGGCTAAAGGTAATTGGCATATAGATGTGCTTGTCATATTTATTGACCTTAAATATTTTTAGATTAATTTAGATCAATTTCAATTAGAGATCTCTCCTATAATGTTTATCATTTTACAGTAATATGAGTAGTTTTTAAATGGTGGGTTTTCATAAAGGGACCAGAAAGGGGGCCTGGGATTGTTACTCAGTGGTAGAGCACTTGCCTAGCTGTGAGGTACTGGGTTCAATCCTCAGTATCACATAAAAATAAGTAATAAAATAAAGATATTGTGTCTATATATATATATGTATGTATATAATTTTTTTAGAAAGGGGGGGACCAGAAAGGGACTGACCAAACTCACCAACTCTAGAGTACTTATATTAGAAATGCATATTTTTAATATGGCTAAATTTGAAATAATAGTTAATGGTCAAAAAGTGAATTTTAAATAATGTTTTATCACTTTTTAGTACAACACCTCAGGTATTGAGCCCCACTATTACATCTCCCCCAAATGCACTGCCTCGAAGAAGTTCTCGACTTTTTACTAGTGACAGCTCTACAACCAAGGTAAAGAATTCTGAATGCCACATTTACTTAATGCTTTCCCTGCTAAAATATCTGTTCATTGATGACTTCATCTTTATAAATAAATTTGGAAAGCTAGCTATGATTTTTTGGTCCTTTGGTAAATATTATATAACATTTTTCTTTGGTACTAGAGATTAAACCCAGGGGTGTAACACTGAGCTATATCCCCAGCCCTTTTTATATTTTGTGTAGTTGACAGGGTCTTGTTAAGTTCCTGAGCCTGACTTTAAACTTGCAATCCTCCTGCCTCAGCTTCATGAGCTGCTTATATTATAGGCATGCACCACTGCACCCAGCTTTAATTATAGAAAACAACAGTGGTTATCAGGAAATAGGCCTGAGCATAGCACAGCCAGACACAGTGGCACATGCCTGTAATCCCAGCAACTCAGGAGATTAAAGCAGGAGAATCACAAGTTCAGTAACTTAGTGAAACCCTGACACTAAAAAGGCCAGTCTCAGTAACTTAGTGAAACCCTGACACTAAAAAGGGCTGGGGATATGGCTCACCCCTGAGTTCAATCCCTGGCACCAAAAAAAAAAAAAAGCATAGCAAAAAAAGGATTTCTTTGTGATAGTAAAATAGTTCTATATCCCAAGCATGGTGGTTGATTGCATAAATCCATTCATGTGATAAATTACACAGAATTATATATATACACACCCACATGCACGCAAAAGAGTTCAAATGAAAACCAAACAAATGAGGTCCGTAGTTCATTTCATAGTATAATATTTCAGTTTCCTCAATATAATTTTATATGTTATCACTAATGAAAGACTGAATGGAAATTCTCTGTTTTCTTTGCTTCTATCTTCTTATGAACTGAAACTATTTCAAAATTAAAAGTTTAAAAAATTAAAGGGCTTCATTACAATGGCCTTGGTTAAATTTTTTTTGGTCCATGGAAGGACATTATAGGTAAATTCAACTTTGTGATTTATTAGTTAAGTGCTCTGAGACAATTAAATGGTATTGCATCCTCTTATTTTCTTACTGTAAAATAATAAAGGAGAATATGATGTACTTGCAAAAAAAAAACGCTCAATGCAGATTCACCTTAATTACAATAAGTAAATACAATTTATATTTAGAATTCTTGAATTTAGAATTGACTTTGAAGACTGTTTTTATAAAATTTCTTCTGAGAAAAATAGCGATTAATCAAGATTATACTTTTAAATCTAATACTTGAGAAAGGGTTGAGGAGGAAGTCTAAAATATATGAGTATAAAGTATGGAATTTTACCCTTTTGCAGGAGAATAGCAAAAAATTAAAAATGAAGTTTCCACCTAAAATCCCAAACAGAAAAACAAAAAGTAAAACTAATAAAGGAGGAATAACTCAACCTAACATAAATGATAGCCTGGAAATCACAAAATTGGATTCTTCCATCATTTCAGAAGGGAAAATATCCACAATCACACCTCAGATCCAAGCTTTTAATCTACAAAAAGCAGCTGCAGGTCTGTTTTAAATGCTTAATATTGTTTATTTTACATTATTATGTACTTATTTTAAGTAATTTCTTTATGGTCATTACACTGCTTTCATTGTTTTCTAGATAGATGGAATTTTAATCAATTAGTTTGTAATCAGCCTTTCTTAAACACCAGAGTTTTATGTTTCTCTCCTTTGGTTACTATATTGTTTTCTCCTAGAAGGTTTGATGAGCCTTCTTCGTGAAATGGGAAAAGGTTATTTAGCTTTGTGTTCATACAACTGCAAAGAAGCTATAAATATTTTGAGCCACCTGCCTTCTCACCACTACAATACTGGTTGGGTACTGTGCCAAATTGGAAGGGCCTATTTTGAACTTTCAGAATACATGCAAGTAAGTATAGAAAATAGGTACATGTGTCTTTCTAGAAATAATTTAAGTGTAATTAAAATGGTCATGCTTGAGAAGACCAGATCTAAAACGTCAATATTTGTTTATTATGTTTGTTTATATAATTATTTTCTCAGGGATTATTATGTCCTCAGCAGAATGATTGCCTGTTACACCAAGGATTGGATTTCCCAGTACTGAAAAAAAAAAGGGCGGGGGGGACCTATCTTATCATTATTTATAATTTGTAGACAAAATTTGGAGGTGGGTACTTGGGATTGAACTCTGGCCACTCAACCACTGAGCCACATTCTCAGCCCTATTTTTTTTATATTTTATTTAGAGACAGGGTCTCACCAAGTTGTTTAGCACTTTGGTTTTTGCTAAGGCCAGCTTTAAACTCTTGGTCCTCCTGTCTCAGCCTCCCAAGCTTCTGGGATTACAGGCATGTGCCACCTCGCCCCGCTGACAAGATTATTTCTTGCTTTAAGGGATAATTTAAATTTTTCAGACTTTCTTGAGGGAGATTTGTGAGAACAGAGCCATCAATGCACTCTTATACCTTGTACTCTGCTCATTTGGATCTGAAAATGCATATTTAGATATATAATCTATAAATTCTTTCTACAATATAGTTTTTATGAATTATTGTTATTATTTATTTATTTATTTTTGGTACTAGGGAACTGAACCCAGGGGCACTTAACCACTGAGCTATATCCCCAGCCCGTTTTTATTTTTAATTTTGAGACAGGGCATCACTAAGTTGCTTAGAACCTCACTAAGTTTCTGAGGCTGGCCTCAATCTTGGGATCTTCCTGCCTTGGCCTTGGGATTCACTGGGATTATAGGTGAGCACCACTGTGCCGGACTCTTCGATTTGTTTTAGAAACTTAAAGAATGCTATGAAGAAAATTATATTTAATTGATGACACAATATTCTTATCAGAAGGCTTTTATCCTTTTAGTTTTAATTAAATTTTTTTACTTAAGATACCTGTTGTTAGTGGGGCTTATATGTGTTTTTATTTGGGTTTTGGCTTGGGGAGTATTTGTTGCTGTTGTGATACTGGGGATTGAAACCAAGGGTGCTGTATCCTGAGCTACATCCCAGGCCAATTTATTTTTTAATTTCATGACAGGGTCTTGCTAAGTAATAGAGGCTGACCTTGAACTTGTGATTCTCTTGCCTCAGCTTCCTAAGTAGCTAGGATTGCAGGCATGTGCCACTGTGCCTGACAAGTTATCTGCTTATAGAGAAAAGGAAAGGATGGTTAACTTAAATTAAAAAAAAAAAATGCAATTTCCAATTTAAATAATTTCTCCTGTCCAAAGTATTTTCTTCCTACCCCTAAGCTTAAAAAGATAACAAAACCCCCCAAAAAGTTGACAAGGTTACTTTTCAGAATGTATTTCAGTATATAGTATTTTCTAATACAATGAGGCAATTTCTTGCCTCCATGGAGTATATTACATTCTAGTAATAGCCAAAGTATAAGCTAATAAATGTGTGAGGATAGGTAGCAGGAAGTAATATGAAGAAAAATGAAGCATGGTAAGGAGGCTGAGTGAGGGGCACTGAAAGTATGGTATTCCTTTTTTTTAATTAGCTCAGAATCAGAAGATTATTCTTCCCTTCATGAGCCATGCAAAGACACAAGGGGAAACTGTTCTTCCCAGGCTGAAAATAAATGCAGACATGTCTATTCATGTAATTTTGTATAGTACCAAAAAGAGGATTGTAACCAGAAAGCTTTATTCATTGCTAATTAATTGCTAGGAGATCCATGTTGGGATTATGGCATTTACCAATACACTCTGTGTGTGTGTGTGTGTGTGTGTGTGTGTGTGTGTGTGTGTGTAAAAGAAGCAAAGCTATGTTTTCAAAATTATTTATAGTTTATTGTTTTACAGGTACTTTGGAATATGTGAATTTTGTTTTTTCCATAGTTACAGACCCGTGAGCAACTTGAGTATTCAAAAGGAGCCTTTTTTTTCCAGCTTAATTTTATTAGTTATTTTCCATTTTTCTTTTTTGTGTATACCATAATGAATTTTCAAAAGAAGCAGTAGATTCTGATATTTGAAAACAAAAGGTACCTGTATTTGGTTTATTTGTGCATTAGGGGAGGAGGGCAGGATACTAGATAGAGAACCCAGGGGTTCTGTACCTCTATCACTGAGCTACATTTCCAGGCCTTTTTTTTTTTTAAGACTTGATTTGAGGGGCTGGGGATGTGGCTCAATCGGTAGCGCTCTCGCCTGGCATGCGTGCGGCCCGGGTTCGATCCTCAGCACCACATACACACAAAGATGTTGTGTCTGCCGAAAATTAAACAATAAAAATGTTGTGTCTGCCGAAAATTAAAAATAAATAAAAATTATAAAAAAAAGATTTGATCTTTAGCACCACATAAAAACAAATAAACAACAACAAACAAATAAAATAATGGTTAATTTCTTTTTTAAAAAAAAGAAAGAGTCTCTCTAAGTTGTTAAGATGGCCTTGAACTTATGATCTTCCTTTTAAGAAATTTTAGGGACTGAACACAATGACACACACCTACAATCCCAGGGTCTGGGGAGGCTGAGGCAGGAGGATCACAAGTTCAAAACCAGCCTCAGCAATTTAACAAGATCTTGTCTCAAAAAGGGCTGGGGGTCGGATGCGGTGGTACACACCTGTAATCCCAGCAGCTTGGGAGACTGAGGCGGGAGGATCCCAAATTCAAAGCCAGCCTCAGCAAAGGCAAGGCACTAAGCAACTCATTGAGACCCTGTCTCTAAATAAGATATAAAATAGGGCTGGGGAGGGCTGGGGTTGTAGTTCAGTGGTAGAGCACTTGCCTGGCATGCCTGAGGCACTAGGTTCAACCCTAAGCACCACATAAAAATAAATAAATAAAATAAGGATATTGTGTTCATCTACAAAATAGGGCTAAGGATGTGGCTCAGTGGTTGGATATCCCTGAGTTCAATCCCCAGTGCCCCCCAACCTCCCTCAACAAGTGGGGGCCACTAGGGAATGTTGCTCAGTGGTTAAGCACTGCTGGGTTCAATCCCTGCTACCAAAAATAAAATAAGAGATTTTAGGTAAGTTGCAAATCATTTGTTCAGCTAGTGCTTGGATACCATATGGCATTTCTTGGGAATAAATTCCGATTTTATAACCATCCTTTCTTTATTTTCTATCTTCATTTCATTAAGAATATTTCAAATGTTCTTTATTCTAATCTAAACCTTGAGAATTTTTAAAATGCTAAGTTAATAAATTAGGAAATTAATTGGTTTCATATAATCTAAAACCTCAAATTTTGGGGGGAAAGAAGTACAGTTTAGAACCTGTGAATATGGTGAGGAAAAAATATGATCTGACAGCTGAGACTGACATAGGAAAAGGCAGTTAGAAGGTGGGAACTAGAGTTCCTGGCAGGTTCGGTGTTAGCATTATGTGTTCAACATGTCATAGAGTTGCTAGCCATCTTAACTTGTTTTCAAGTCAGCCTCTCAGAAAGTCATTGCAAAAATACAAAGTACAAAAATAGATTTTTTACAACAGAAGTCATTCTTCTATCTTTGCTGGGAGGGTTATTCTATAAAGCCATTATCAAAACTTAAAAATGTGTTTTTTAAGGAAAATATCGGGCTGGGGTTGTAGCTTAGTGGTAGAGCCCTTGCCTAGCACGTGTGAAACACTGGCTTCAATCCTCAGCACTACATAAAAATTAAGATATTGTGTCTTTATACAAAAAAAAAAAGGAGGAGGAGGAGGAAATATCAACTTTTTTTTTTTTCCCTCCAGTTCTAGGCTTTGAACGAAGGGCTTTGCATATGCTAGGCAAGTATGAGCTACATCCCCTGACGAGAGTTCATGATTTTACCACAACTTCATGTATAAAAGCTAGATTAAGGGCCGGGGTTGTGGCTCAGTAGTAGAGAGCTTGCCTAGCATGCGTGAGGCACTGGGTTCGATCCCTGGCACCACATACAAAATAAAGGTATTGTGTCCATCTATAATTGAAAAAAATAACAATAAAAATAAAACTTGATTTAGTATGATGTGATTGCATCAATATTTGAGCTATAGCACAGAAGATTGCTTAATTTGTCCTTGTGTTATTAATAATTCACTTTAAAAAATATAACCAAGGGGCTGAGGATGTGGCTCAAGCGGTAGCGCACTCGCCTGGCATGCGTGCGGCCCGGGTTCAATCCTCAGCACCACAAAGATGTTGTGTCCGCCAAAAAAACTAAAAAAATAAATATATATATATAAACCAAGGCAACACTTTGGTTCTATGAAGATAGTGACCAGAACTCTGTTTGCATATATATAAATTGTATCAACTTGTTTTCCCTTACTAGTTTTTGTATTTCAGGCGGAAAGGATATTCTCAGAAGTTAGAAGAATTGAGAATTACAGAGTTGAAGGCATGGAGATCTACTCTACAACACTTTGGCATCTTCAAAAAGATGTTGCTCTTTCGGTTCTTTCAAAAGATTTAACAGACATGGATAAAAATTCACCAGAGGTATCTTAACTAAAACACTTTGCTTGTATAGTTACCTTTTGATCACCCTTAACAAATGGAAATGAATCATATACAGTCTTACATCACTTAAGGACAAGGATGTATTCTGACAAATGTGTTGTTAGGCAATTTTTTCGTTGTGCAGAACATCATAGAATATAATTACACAAAAATCAGTACAACATAGCTATGCAATATAATCTTAAGGGACCATTGTCATATATGGGGTTCATCAATGACTAAAATGTAATGACTATTGTTCAAAAGCTAACTACACTTATTTTCCTTCTCCTATGGAAGGACTCAGAACAAAAAATCCTAGAATAAGCAGTGCAGATTCAGAAATAGAATAATCCAAAAGCAGGTATTTCTTTTAGGATTAATCAATGACTGTATTAAAGTTGCTGTTAACCAACATTAGGTAGAAATAATTGAGCAGAAGTAATATAGATTGAAGGAAGTGCTGATTTTAAAATAAATTAATAATTTTAATTGCCATTTTAACCTATAAAGACAATTAGTTCACATCTTTCATGTTTTGGGGGTTTCATTTATTTTTTATTTTGGGTGGTGGGGGTACCAGGAGTTGAACTCAGGGGCACTCAATCACTGAGCCACATCCCCATCCCTATTTTGTATTTTATTTAGAGACAGGGTCTCACTGAGTTGCTTAGTACCTCTCTTTTGCTGAGGCTGGCTTTGAACTTGTGATCCTCCTGCCTCAGCCTCTTAAGCTGCTGGGAGTACCGGCGTGGGCCACCACGCCCCGCAAGTTTTTTGAGTTTTGTTGTTGTTTCTGTTTTTTTCTTAGTTCAATGTAAGAGTAGGATTTATGCAAGTGATAAGAAAAGACAGTTTTTTTAAGACCTTGATTTCAGGGCATTTCAAGAATATTTAGTGAGCCAGGCATGGTGGCACATACCTGTAATCCCAACACTTGGGAGGATGAGGCAGGCGGATCAGATGTTCAAGGCCAGCCTCAGCAACTTAGTGACACCCTGTCTAAAAATTTTAAAAGGGTGGGGGATGCAACTCAATGGTAAATTATCTCTGAGTTAAATCCCCAGTATTTAAAAAAAAACAGAAACAAAAACAAAAAACTTGCCCTAGAGGATTCTATTTTCTTTACTTTACAAAAGAGAAAATGAAGTTCAGAAGTGTTAAAGTGAGTTATGTGCAGCTGCTCTGCCTATAATAGTTCACAGCAATGAGATTCAAACTAAGAGCTCTCAGAGCCACAGCTTTCTGCACTACACTCAGCTGCCCCCAAGTCTCTATCTTCTGTTCATTTCTATTTGAGAACTGAGAATGACCTTCTTTAGCCTCAACTGAGAAGATGCCTATGGGGCAACTCAAATGTTGAGTTTAAGTTTTTGTTTTTATAAGTTAAGATTTGATTTTAGTTATAACAGGTTTGATTTTGTAGAACAAAATTTTTTTTAAAAATTTAGTTATGTATTTATTTTTTTGTTTCCTTCTTTCTTAAGGCCTGGTGTGCTGCGGGGAACTGTTTCAGTCTACAACGGGAACATGATATTGCAATTAAATTCTTCCAGAGAGCTATCCAGGTTGATCCAAATTATGCTTATGCCTATACTCTTTTAGGGCACGAGTTTGTGTTAACTGAAGAACTCGATAAAGCATTAGCTTGTTTTCGAAATGCTATCAGAGTAAATCCTCGACATTATAATGCATGGTAAGTGCTAATGAAGTGCAAAGACCAAGTCTTATTGATGGCTTTTTTTTTTTAAGAGTATATTTTATATATATATATATATTTTTATATATATGTATATATATATTTATATGTATATATATGTATATATATATGTTATATATATATGTATATATATACATATATATATATACACACACACAAACACACACGCACACACATATACACACACATACATACATGTATACATTTTATTTTTTTATTTATTTTTATGTGGTGCTGAGGATTGAACTCAGGGCCTTGCAAGTACGAGGTGAACGCTCTACCACTGAGCCACAACTCCAGCCCCTATTAAAGGCTTTTCTTTCTTTTTTTTTTTCCTCCTTTTTTTCCAACAATAGAGAGATGGCTAACAACAAAAATTTCTGAGTATTCTTGAGTATATTTGATGTATATTTTTGGCTTGTGTTTATGGTTTTTAATGGATTATATCTTCTAAATAGTTATATAGATGGAATAGTTATATAGAAGAAAAAAAATGCCAGCTTTTGGTGACACATCAATCCAAGCTTGCTTCCCTTCAAGTTTTCTTAATATTTTAAGAACTCAGTTCTTTCCTTTTCTTTTTTTTTAATGGTGCTAGCGATTGAACCCAGGGCCTTATGCATGCAAGGCAAGGACTCTACCACTGACTCTATCCCCAGTCCAAGAATTCAGTTCTTAATAGGTCTTGTGTTGTTTTTTAAACATGTAGGATCTGTTCTGCTATTTTGCAGTAGATGCATTTTTAACCAGATTTACCACATAAAAAATTGTATTATAAGGAGGACTATTCAAACTGGGAAGAATTTAAATACTGAGTTGTTTGGGTAACATTATGTATCTAAACACTGAGCAAATTTATTATTCTAATTCCAAAGTGAATAGTCTTTCTTTATTATTTCCACCTTCACTATCATTAGCACAGTCTCTTTAATACCTTTTCTTCACATATAACACTATTATGATGATAAACAAAGCAACTTAAATAAATTAGCTGTATTGTGATTTTTTTCTTATTCATTTGGTGCTTATTTTCCATCATTATCTATTTGTGGCCAAGAGAGGTCTTCTTATGTATCAATGCATACTATATCCAGTTGACGTTTTGAAAATTCAGGAGAAATACCTGTATTCAGAAAGGAACTGGCTAGAATTCTTATTAGCTATATAACTTTAAGCAAGTTACTTCTCTGATCTTACTTTAAGTTTTCTTACTTAAAAATGAGAATGATAACTCTTCTAGGATTAAATGAAATAATTCACATTAAAAATTTAGCAGAGCTGAGTATAATGGTGCATACCTGTAGTTCCAGGCTGAGGCAGGAGGATCACCTGGGCAATATAACAATACCCTGTCTTTAAAAAAAAAAAAAGAATTAGCCAAGTTCTTGGCACACACATACAATATCACTTGGTTGAAATTAGTTAAGTCTAGATTATAGTGATTGTTTTAAAGATGGGGTTTCTTTTTTTCCCATTTTTATAGTTTTGTTTGATTAGTTGGATTGACTTATTTTTATTTTAAAATTGTCTCCTTCTAAAATGTTTAACAGTTTTTATCATGACTGATACTGTTTGCCTCCCCTGTAAGACTATCACAATTTTTCCACTATTATTAAAATGCTAAATAACATATCCTGTTATTAATTGAAGTAAATTAGCACCCAGTAGTTCTATCCCTAAAATTTTACTTTGTTTTGCTCTTGCAGGTATGGTTTAGGAATGATTTATTATAAGCAAGAAAAATTCAGCCTTGCAGAAATGCATTTCCAGAAAGCACTTGATATCAACCCTCAAAGTTCAGTTTTACTTTGCCACATTGGCGTAGTAAGTGATTTTCTAAACATTATTGCTGTGAATATATTTTACAAAATATACATTTTTAGAAAATATACATTTTCTCCTTTTATTAATATGTTTGCTAACTAATTCAATTGCTATAATGAAAGTTGAAGCTTCTTGTTATTAATGTTGTTGAAACAGTATCCCAGAGCCTTATACAGCCTAAAACACCACCTTTTGGTTTTTCGTTGATGTGCTCTTATCCCTTGGGCAAGTCACTTAATTTTTTAGAATTTCTGCTTTATGCATGACAAATAATATACCTTACAGGATAGCCAAATATTTAACCTTTTTTGCAGTGCTAAGGATTAAACCCAGGGCCTCATGCATGCTAGGCAAGTGCTCTACCACTAAGCAACATCCCCAATCCCTTTTTTCAAATTAATTGCTAAAGTAGTTATAAGTGTAATTGTTCTAAGTAATATAGAATTAATAATAGGCAGTTCTTTGAACACAGTTTTTTGTTTGTTTGTTTGTTTGTTTGTTTTTAGGTGTCGATGGACACAACACAATGCCTTTATTTTTATGTGGTGCTGAGGATCGAACCCGGGTCCCACCCGTGCTAGGCGAGCACTCTACTGCTGAGCCACAATCCAGCCCCTGAACACAGTTTTGAAAAGGCTAATATTAAGAAGACCACAATAAGCCTGAAATATATTATCTGGCTAAATTATAAGATATTTTTCTATGAAGGGAAAATCAAAGTTTTGTTTGCCTTTTAGACAAAAAAGTTACCAAATATCTGCTCTAAAGAGAATCGTAAGCTGGGCACAGAGGAGCACACCTATAATCACAGTGGCTCATGATTGAGGCTGAGACAATATGACGGCAATTATCAAGGCCCTAAGCAACTTAGCAAGACTGTATCGCAAAATAAAAAATAATAAATGGGCTAAGGCTGTGGCTCAGTGGTAAAGTATCCCTGGGTTCAATTCCTAATACCAAGAAAAAATATACAGAGAATCATGATTACCATTATGAATAATATCAGATTGGGAGCCAGAGGACCTAGGTCTTCATCCTTAAGCAAATTCAAGACATTTCTTCTGACTATCATGTTCTCATCTTTAATTGCTTGAATTGGAAGAGATTTAGAGATACTCTATTAATCAGTTGGTAATCAGTTGGTAAATTCACTTAAGGCAATAACAGCTATACCACCTCATCGTTAATAGTATTGTTATATTTATGTTGATATTGAGTAACATTATTGGTTCTCATCTTTCTTTTAAAATATCAGGAGTCAATATTAACATGACCTTTATTTCTTATAGGTTCAGCATGCACTAAAAAAATCTGAGAAGGCTTTGGATACCCTAAACAAAGCCATTGTTATTGATCCTAAGAACCCTCTATGCAAATTTCACAGAGCCTCGGTTTTATTTGCAAATGAAAAATATAAGGTAAGGTATATATCTGAATTATCTTCTACATTGTATTGATGAACTTGTCATTTTTTTAATAAACTAAAAGTTTATTAAAACTTAATACTTTTAGGAAGGATAAGTGTGTGGACATTTAGAAATGTGTGGTTATTCCTTATAAACATTCCATGTAAAGAAAGGCAGTTTTCTCTAAGGAAGATATCTTAAAGATACGAGGTTAATGATCCTTTTAGGACCACAATAAGTGAATAAGTGATAAATTATGTGTATATATTCCAAAAATACTTACTGAGCTGGGTTATAGTTCATTGACAGAGGGCTTGCCTAGCATGCATAAGGCCTTGAGTATGATCCCCATCACCTGCAGTATGTACTGAGAATATAGCAGTAAGTAACACAAGTCATATTTCCTGCCTTTGGGTAGCTTAACAGTTAGTACCCCTCTACAGGGAGAACAGAAATTAACCAATAATTACAAAAATAATATGTATGGAGCACATAGTGAGTTGTGAGAGTTTATAACAAGGGGACTAGATCAGTTCTGATGTGTTTTGCTCTTTACTTTTCACTCTATTATTCAAATTATGTAAACTGACAGAAGTATTGAGGAAAGAACATAAGGAAAACTGAATAAGAGAAAAAAGATATAAAATGACATGAGATTTTTCTTATAGGGTTTGTACATATTCCCACATAAGTGTATTTATATGTTTGAGAATGGTACATATATTTATATATATATATATATTTTTTTTTTTTTTTTTTGTACATATATTTTGATACAAGGAAACGGTATTCACTGCTTTGCATCCGTTTTTGCTTTTATTTTTAAACATACAGTTTAGCACTTATAAATACATAGAGAATGGATCATAATTTATTCAATAGGCTATAATTATTATGTACAACCAGAGAAATGAAAAATTGTGATCCGTATGTGTACTATGAATTGAAATGCATTATTATTATTTTTTTTTTTTAATAGGCTGCAGGGCTGGGGACATAGCTCACTTGGTAGAGTGCTTGCCTCGCATATACACGGCCCTGGGTTCAATTCCCAGCACCACCAAAAAAAAAAAAATAATAGGCTGTATTTAAACACTAGGATCATTTGTAGCAGATGTTGGTTTGAGTATTCTTATGACTTTGTGAATTTTTTTGATTATACCCTTAAGACAAATTCCTAATAGTGGGATTGTTGAATCAATGGTTGGTTATATGTAGTTTTGGGGAGTTTTGGGGGGGTTTTTTGTTTTTGTTTTTGATACCAGGGATTGAACTCAGGGGCACTCAACCACTGAACCACATCCCCAGCCCTATTTTGTATTTTATTTAGAGACAGGGTCTCATTGAGTTGCTTTGAACTTGCAATACTCCTGCCTCAGCCTCTCGAGCCTATGTCCGGCCTACATGCAGTTTTTAAATTGCTAGATCATCCTCACAAACAGGTTGCATCTTTTCTTGGGGCACTCTACCACTGAGCTACATCCCCAGCCTTTTTTTTTTTTTTTTTTAAGTTGTACATGGACACAATATCTTTATTTTGTTTATTGATTTTTATGTGGTGCTGAGGATCAAACCCAGTGCCTCATATGTGCAAGGTAAGCGCTCTGCTACTGAGCCACAACCCCAGCCCCCTAGCCCCCCACCCCATTTTAATTTTTATTTTGAGACAGGGTCTTACTGAGTTGTCAAGATTAGCCTCAAACCTGCGATCCTCTTACCTCAGCCTCCCATTTCACTAAAAATGTGAAATCAATTTTCAGTGAAGATGTAAGTGTATACATGTAAGATGTGCACTTACATCTTCAGTGATTACAATACTTGTTTCCCCTTACTTGCTAACTTTATGTAACACCACATTATATTTATTTTTATTTTTGTCCTTTCAGCAGGTTAAAGAAATGGGATGGCATCTCATTTGGGAAGCCAGTTTTACTTTAAATGATAATATCTCCCCTTTAAGTACAAATCTGATTCTTTCTTCTATATTTGCTCTCATCTCCCCAATCCTTTACCAGGGGTCAAAAGATAACTAGTTTTAACTCAGTTTAGAGGTTCAAACTTCAATAGGCGGTTGGTATTCAAAGCTTAGCACTTCCATTAGGGAGAAGGTCCAGAGAGAACTTGAGACTTAATTTGTGTTCTGCAGCCTAGTTTTCAAAACACTTTAATACACTTCCACAGATAATATGAGATTATTGTTATTTTTAACTAAAATAGTGATAAAATCAAGATTTGTCACCACCTCTACCTTTCAAAGAGGTGTGTGCACTCAAGTATGTTCAGTGTACTCTGGTGAATGTCTGACATTTCTTTGTGCATTTTATTTTCATAGCATGAATTAATGCAATATGGAAGTACATTGATTTGATTAAGACCTAGTAAGCTTTTATTAAAATGATTTGGAAAATCTAACAAAAATATTTGATCACAGTTTTGTAAAATTTTATCACGCTAAGGTTCTTCTTTACATTTTTCAGTCTGCTTTGCAAGAACTTGAAGAATTGAAACAAATTGTTCCCAAAGAATCCCTCGTTTACTTCTTAATAGGAAAGGTAAAGACTGGGGTTATGGTCCTACACAGTGATTTTCATAACAAATATTAACTTCTGAAAAATAAATGTAATGCTTATTGTATAACATCTATTGAGAAAATTCAACGAGAGCTGTGAACTAAGTGCTCTGGGGATAATGGGTATAGTTTTAGCATTTAAGAGGATAATGTCCTAATGAAAGAGCAAGAACACCATAATTCTAACCTATGGTACTAGTAGTTAAGAACTTATAGCCCAAGATCAGTAATGAGCTCATAACCTAAACTACCACATGGAAAACTGTCCAGTTATCAATAATAAAATACTTACAAATCCCTCAGAAGAAGAACTCAGTGGCACTGTGTTGTCTTGATTCCCAAGGCCTGAATTTTATAGATTGGGCCACCAGATGCCAACTGGTTTGAGTGTCTGGGTGCCATGGACAGGTGTTAAGAGTTGATGAAACTCCATTTAAAATCAGTATAAGTGAATGTTAATCAAGTCGCTTGTGTAGTCCATTTCTTCCCATTGTCAGTGTTCCAGAATAAGGTTTATTGGAAAGTCACTACCTGAAAGATTAAAGGAAGGAATTCTATTATAAAGGAACTCAAGAGCTTGTCTGACTTTATAGGATGAAGATGCCCTTCCCATGAGAATGGATTTAGAGCACATAAATCAAAAGCCTAATTTATATTATAAATGTTTGGGATTTTATAGTCAAAGCTTACAACTTAATGAAAAATGTAGTGCTGCTGTTTATTTTTAGGTTTACAAGAAGTTAGGTCAAACGCACCTCGCCCTGATGAATTTCTCTTGGGCTATGGATTTAGATCCTAAAGGAGCCAATAACCAGATTAAAGAGGCAATTGATAAGCGCTACCTTCCAGATGATGAGGAGCCAATAACCCAAGAAGAACAGATCAGTGAGTATCATACATAGAATTTTGAATATTCATAAAGCTACCTTTTATGTAAGAATTTATGGGCTGCTTTTTTATTTTTCTAACTCTGGTATTTTCTTTATACAAAATGGAATTTTAGAGAAATTGAATAGGGTGATATAATACCAAAGTGCATATGATATCAGATAATAAATTTCAGTTCTGGATCTAGTTTACTGTGTAATAACAAATCTATTGCTGATTTTTTTTTAAACCTGGACCTCAATTTATATTTGGATATTTATCTAGTATTGCCTTATCTGCTTTATATGAATGTAGTGGAGGGCCAAGTGTGGTGCCACATGCCTGTAATCCCAGTGGCTTAGAAGGCTATGGCAGGAAGATCACAACTTTGAGGTCAACTTCAGGAGTTTAGCAGGGCCCTAAGCTACTTAGTGAGATCCTCTCTCAAAATAAAACATAAAAAGGGTTGGCCTAGGGGCTGGGGATGTGGCTCAAGTGGTAGCGCGCTCGCCTGGCATCGTGCGGCCCGGGTTTGATCCTCAGCACCACATACAAACAAAGATGTTGTGTCCGCTGATAACTAGAAAAAGGGGGGGTTGGCCTATATTCGTAGCAGCTTGGGAGGCTGAAGCAGTAGGATTGCAGGTTCAAAGCAAGCCTCAGCAACTTTACAAGGCCGTAAGCAACTTTGTGGGACCCTGTCTCAAATTTTTAAAAAATTTTTAGGGCTGGGAATATAGCTCAGTTGGTAGAGTGCTTGCCTGTAATGCATAAGGCCATGGGTTCATTCCCCAGCAACAGCCCCCCCCCCCAAAAAAAAAAGATGGTTTTTTTAAAGGGCTGGGGATTTTGCCCAGTGGTTAAGTTCCAGAGTCCAATTCCTGCACTCCCCCCGGCCCAGAAAAGGAATGTAGTGAGAAGAGAGAATGATAAACGAGTAAATGTGAAAATATATTTTAAAACATTTTAAGTGCAAAGTGAATGAATAATAAATTGTTAACATTTTAAAGTATTGACAGAGCTATAGTAGTGGCTATTCAAATTCTATGTAGCTCTGGAAAACCCAAATATATGCTTAATTATAAGTCCTATAATCCCAATAGCACTTTTTTTAAGTTTATTTTTTTGGTTATAGGTGGACACAATACCTTTATTTTATACTTATGTGCTGCTGAGGATGGAGCCCATTGCCTCACACATGCTAGGCAAGCACTCCCCCCAATAACACTTTCAATCTGAAGGTTATAATCTGTATTTCTGTGGACTAGTAAGGATTATCCTCTAAGTGGAGTGACTGATTAGAGATAGGGAGAAAACGATAGTTTTTTTTGTTTGTTTGTTTGTTGTTGTTGTTGTTGTTGTTTTTAATAGTGGCTCAGAGAAGTTTTTTTTTTTCAATTTTTTTTTAAGATATATATGACAGTAGAAATGTATTTTCACGTAATTTCATACATGGAGTATAACTTCCCATTCTTGTGGTTGAACATGATGTGGAGTTGTACTAGTCTTGTATTCATATATGAACATAGGAAAGTTATATCTGACTCATTCTACTGTCTTTCCTATTCCATGCTACCTCCCTTCCCTTCATTCCCCTTTGTCTAATCCAGTGAACTTCTATTCTTCCCTCCCTATTCCCCTCCCTTATTGTGTGTTAGCATTAGCATATTAGAACATTCAGCCTTTGGTTTTTTGGGATTGGCTTATTTCACTTAGCATGATAGACTCCAGTTTTTCCAAAAATTTGTTTTTATTTGCCATAATTTTATTCTTTATGGCTGGGAATATTCTGTTGTATTTATTTACCACATTTTCTCGATCCATTCATCTGTTTAGGGCACCTAGGTTGGTTTTAGATTAGCTGTTAAGAATTGAGCTGCTATAAACATTGATGTGGCCATGTTACTATAGTATGCTGATTTTGTTGTTGTTGTTACCGAGGATTGAACTCAGGGGCACTTAACCACTGAGCCATATCCCCAGCCCTTTTTATATTTTATTTAGAGACAGGGTCTCACTGAGTTGCTTGGGGCCCCACTAAATTGCTGAGGGTGGCTTTGAACTCGCAGTCCTCCTGCCTCAGCCTCCCAAGCTGCTGGGATTGTGTTCGACACTGAGCCCAGCTGTAGTATAGTATGTTTTAAGTCCTTTGGTTATATGCTGAGGAGTAGAAAAGCTGGGTCAAATGGTGATTCCAATCCAAGTTTTCTGAGGAATCTCCATACTGCTTTCCAGAGTGGTTATACCAATTTTCAGTCCCACATCCTTTTTACCTGTATACCTTTCTCCCCACATCCTCACCAACATTTATTGTTACTTGTACTCTTGATCATTGCCATTCTGACTAGAGTGAGATGAAATCTCAATGTAGTTTTGATTTGCATTTCTCAGAGAACTATTTCTAATTCTGAGGGCAGGAATAAGTAATCAATTAGGGAGAGGCATTTTTAAATACTTAAAGGTTAAATGCACCAAATAAATATCACACATGTTATAAAGTAAGGAACTTTTTTTTTTTTTAGTTGTTGATAGACCTTTATTTATTCATATGTGATGCTGAGAATCGAACCCAGTGTCTCACACATGCCAGGCAAGTGCACTACCACTGAGCCACAACCCCAGTCCTAAAATAAGAAACTTGAATTACATTTTATTAAAGGATATTAGGATTTTTAATGTTCTTTATTTAGGGTCTCATCTCTAAATATAATGCAATTTTCCTTACTTGTTTTCATGAATCAATAAGCTATATTTGTCAGATATCTTACTGTAGACTTTCGTTTTATTTTTAAAGTGGGAACTGATGAATCCCAGGAGAGCAGCATGACCGATGCAGATGACACACAACTTCATGCAGCTGAAAGTGATGAATTTTAACTTCTGGAACTCAGACTTTTACAATTGGATGTGTGACCAGTGCTGACATGTTTATTGTCCCTCCGTATACTGAGTCTTCACTCTTGAGCCGGCATTGTCATCATCCATCATTTATACCATGAGTGTGCCACTTTCATTGGACCCTGACTGTATACAGAATGAAAGGCAGTGCAATATTTAGCTGCTAAGAAGACTGGCTCTTTTACCAGTATGAATGACAATTTAGGGGGGGGTAGGTGGGGAACTTTCTTTTCTTTTTTCTTTAATCTCCCTTAGTTGCAAAGCTATCATGGAAGGAAGAGTTATGTTTTATCTTGAAGGAACCATTAGATATGGAAAATAGTGATGAACCAGAATTTCTTGGTCGTTTTTCCAAAAATTTGTTTTTATTTGGTTCTGTTCCTGATAAACAGTGACTGACCTTCATTTCTAGGTTCTTCAAGAATGGTGTTAGCAAGTGCCAGATGGAACAATAAAAGACATTGCCTATAACAGAGTAACTTGATTGCCAAGGAATGTAAATTACCTTAAACTTGCAGTGTCTCCTATGAACAAATATAATGGGCATATTGGGACTGGTATGTAGGAATCAAATATCCCTCCATACAATGTACACTTATTCTTGGCAAGAATGCTTTAATGTCTAACCAAGAATTTTAATTTATTCATCTTGCTTCAAAGTGTTGATAATTGTTGTCTTAGTATTGCAAACTTTAAAATTGGTCCTTACCATATTGCCTCATCTCTTTGAGCTCTGTGGGATCACCTTTAACATTCAGAGATGGTAGAGTGGTTCCCCACTGAAAAGCCAAAACAAGGCCCTTAATGACCACTTAAGTTCACCATGAGAATCAATATAAGAACACTAAAGACAGACTTTAAGAGATCATGATAGTGAAAGCCTTAATACAATCATAATTGTACCATAACCTTGAATATACATTTGTTCAAGACAGTGTCCCTTTGACTTTTCTAAGTGTTTAAGCAGAGTGCAAGAATGTGTGGTTACCTTTGTTGAAATCATTTCCATTCTTTTTAGCTCTCTGCTTCAGATTATTTTTGGTAATATGAGTCACCAAAACTTTTTACTAAGAGCAATTGGGTTTAGAATATTGGAACTTTTTAGTTCAGGGGAACAAAATTCTGATGAAGGAGACAGGATCTCTCCTGAGTTCATCATAACATAGGTTTGTGTCTTTGGGAAATGGCCACAATTTTAAAGATCTAATTATGCATATAAAATGGGAATTATTGGAATTTCACAGTAACAGATTTAAACAATCTTAAATTGTGTATCTCCTTTATTGTAATGTATTGAAATTTTTAGGGAAGCTTTAGTTGTTAACATTTTATTTAGTGCCAATGTCAGAATATAACAAATTATAGTTTCTTATAAATGACAGGCCTACAGTTATTATTTTGGATTATTTGATGAAGGACAAACTTACTTACTGGTTACCTGTATTTGTTAGTCAAGCTGTGAAAATAAGGTGGATTACAAAATATGTGAAAATAATTTTAGCTTGTAAACTCAGTAATTTTCTGTCATATACTATTAATCTCACCAAACATGCATTAGATACCATTATAAATTAATTCAAGTCAAAAATCTTGGATTAGGTTTTAGGTGCGAGAGAAGCATTTAAAAAAATTTCCTACCTAAATCTATATGTGCTGTCTAAAAAAAGTAATTTAAAAGGAAAAGGAAAGGTTGGGAATAAATGAATATCATTAAAAATTCCCAAAGGCTAGCACTTGGATTCTAACAAATATTTTATTTTATTATCTATTAGTTTTGTAATGTTTAATTTTAGATTCTTTTTCTTTTTATTGGCAAATCATAAGCCAGCTATATAATAGTATTAAATGTAGAATTTTATAGAAGGCTTCAATGTAAGTTCTAAGTTAGAAAGCCTGGAGAAAGCTAAGCTCAGAACATAACTTGCTGAAATAGAATCTTTTTGTAGTAGGAATTTATGTACTGGGACATAGAGACTCTCTGGTACTGATTTTCAGATGAAGAATGAAAGGGTAGCTGTGGAAGGCATGCCATGGCAATAGCTGGCTGAGGGACACTTTCAGTCCACATGTGACCTGATTTTATTTTTCTTTATGCTTACTTTTAAAGTAATTTTGGTATTCAAAGCCTTATTTCCTACCTAGTAACTGTTTCTTGCTCTTTTCCTTCCTTCCTTCCTTTCTCTCTCACTTCCCATAGAATGGGGATCATACAACCAGAAGAAGAAAACATTTTGGCCCAGCAAAATGTTTGCTATCAATTTCAGAACTTACTTTGAAGGAAATTAAAAATACTAAGTACTTTGACACCCTTTTTTCTGTTTATGCTTTTCTCACACATTATGCACACACTTTTATTCACAAGTTATGTTGTAGCATCGGATTTTTTTCCCCATGGAAATGGTTGCTACTCTGGAATTTTAGAAGGTTGAATATTTTTTTCAAATGAGCAATGGTACTCAAATAATGAAAGGTGGTCCCTGCTTTTTCTGTATTTCATTACTTTAAAAGTTTTTATTTTTTTTCCAAAAACTGCAAGTAACGTTTGAACCATGCTGCTGTTGTACCTTAAACAAAAACTCAGTGATAAACCAGTATTTAGTCTATTAAAAATACTCTTTTGGAAGAAAACAGTTTCAGAGTCTCTGATTAGCCAGAGTATAGTGTGGGTCTTCACTGAGAAATATGTTGACCTGTTTTCTTTGTGAAAACCTGGGAAAATGCAAGTGTGGGTGTGATGTGTGTGTTCTATTTGCATTGAAACAATGTAATTCTGTCTTCTTTTTGCTTTTCCTGACTTATTTCAGAAATTGTACAGTCTTGGGGGGGAAAGGTCTTTTCTGTTAATATATTTGCAGTTCATTAAAGGATATGGAAAATCCAAATAAATTACTTTTGAAAGCAATTTATAATCAAGTTGTTAAAGCTATATAAGAGCTGTGCCATCTGTATTTTTATAGTAAGACACAGCAGAATAGTGATGAAATATTAGTTTTATGTTTTACAGAAGTCTAGGGCAGTGTTTCTCTAATTTTTATTTTTTACTTACGTTCTCTTTTACTATATGAATATATTTTTAAAGTTCATACCCTTCTTAGCATTATTTGGAATTTAAAATAAATATTATGACAAAAAACAATGGTAATTTTTAGAATATTTTTTTTTCAAACTATAGAACCTCCTTACCAGCAGCTGCAACTTTGCAAGTCAACTGCTTATTCTTTGATCATGTGATTTCTGAAATTCCTCTAAAAACTTTTTTGTTCCATTTAAACTCCACTTTAAAAAAAATCAGGATCTAGAAGAAGTAAAATATGTAAACTAAGTTTTACTGTTTTACTCTAGTTTGAAATTTTATTTATTTATTTTAGTATCTTAGGGAATAACTGAAGGTTTTTATTCAGATGTGGAGAAAGGACAAGAGAGAAACACACAGTAATGAACCAAACAGATCCAAGAAACAACTCAGACTTCATAATCTTCCCTAGAACCTGCCATTTATTGTCAGCTAACCAAGGATAAATAGAAGCTTAGACATGGGATTTTTTTTGGCTGGTTTGCCTGCTAATCAATGGTTTGTGAATGTTCCATATAGATTTTATTTTTCTTTAAGTGCAAACTTTGTTAAATAGGTATGTTTAATGACATTGTTCTGGGTGCTGTGTTACTTGCTTTGTGGACAGATTTTCCATCAAACAATCTGGTAAGGTAGGTATTATTACACTTTACGAAAAAGAAAGCTGAGACTCAACTATTAAATGACAGCTGGGTACTTCTACATTTAGTGTATGTTCAAAACTAGGACTTCCTCTGGATGATTCAAATTCTGTCTAACATTAACTCTTAGATGTCTTCTCTAGCATTTCTTTAAATAGTGCTAGTAGAATAATATAAAGCCCAGGTTTTACAGAGGAAACTATTATTGATCATATATTCAAATGTATCATATGCATAGTCTTTTTCTTTTTGGTACCTTTTTGGTACTGGGGATTGAACTCAGGGGCACTCTACCACTGAGCCACACCCCCAGCCCTTTTTCACATTTTATTTAGAGACAGGGTCTCACTGAGTTGCTTAATGCCTTGCCTTTGCAGAGGCTGGCTTTGAATTTGCGATCCTCCTACCTCAGCCTCTGGAGCTGCTGGAATTATAGTCACTTTGCCCATCTATTAGCATAGTCTTTTGATGAGGCTTTGAGGTGTGCTTATCTATTCTACTCAAACTAAAAATGGAAGTATGTTTTCCCTCTTTGGGGACAAGCATTGGCTATAAAATAGAAAATTTTAAGTCTTTGGTTTTCTTTCTTTTTTACTAGTTTCCTCATCACAAATATTTCTTTTATATTTAGCACTGTTAAAAAAAATGTTAATAGTTCAGTTTGAAATTTTTTTTACATGCACACACCTGTAATCCCAGCAGTGTGGGAGGCTGAAACAGGAGAATTGCAAGTTCAAAGCCAGCCCCAGCAACTGCAAGGCACTAAGCAACTCAGTGAGACCCTGCCTCTAAATAAAATACAAAATAGGGCTGAGGATGTGGCTCAGTGGTTGAGTGCCCCTGAGTTCGATCCCCAGTACCGGGAAAAAAAAAAAAAAAGTTTATGGCCCCCTTACTGGAGACAATAAGGTAGACTTTATTCAAAGGGAGCCATGGAGATAAGTTGGGGACCATGCAAAGGGATTTTTTTCTTTCTTCCTTTCTTTTTTTTTTAGTTGTCAATGAACCTTTATTTTATTTATTTATATGTGGTGCTGAGACTGGAGTTTCAGTGCCTCATTCATGGTAGACAAGCTCTCTGCCACTGAACCACAACCCCAGCCCTGGACTCAACTCTTAACTCCAACAATAAACACAGATTCGTATCCAATGAGCAGAGGGGGATCAATAAATGGAAAATTATTATTAAGTGGCACACTCCTGTAATCCCAATAATTCAGGAGGCTGAGGCTAGAGAATTGAGAATTCAAGGCCAACCTCAGCAACTTAACTTTCTCAAAAACTAAAAAGACTAGAAGTGTAGTTCAGTGGTAGAGCACTTTGAATTCAGTCCCCAGCACCACTAAAGGAAGGAAAAAAAAGATTGAAAAAACAAAAAAAGAAAATTATTAAATCATCAGGGATAGAAGTGGGATTGAGTGCTAAACTGACTTGATAGGTTTATTGCTGAAAATCAGCCAAGTTGATGAGACACTAAGAGTGGGGTTAGTTTTGCTAAACTGATTTAGCAGACTTGCTCAAATGTGATCATACAAGAATAGAGAGGGAAGCCCAGGGTCAGGTCCAGTCAGAAAGAACTCAGAGGACCCTGACTAAAACTTTGGTTAAAGGGTAGATTTGGGGTTTTTTGTTTGTTTGGTTTGGTTTGGTTTGGTTCTGGGGATTGACAACAGGAGCCCTTAACCACTGAACCACATCCCCAACCCTTTTATTTTTTATTTTGAGGCAAGTTCTCAATAAGTTGCTTAGGGCCTTGGTAAATTTCTGAGACTGACTTTGAACTTTCAGTCTTCTTGCCTCAGTCTCCCAAGCCCATGGGATCACAGGTATGCACCTCCCACCACACCCTGCAAAGGGTAGACTCTTAACATGAATAAAGAAGAACTTTTGAGTTTGTGGCTCAAATATGTATTTGAAGAGAAAATTCAAGGTCTTGAGGATGAATGAAGTAAAATGGTTTTTTACTTTTTTTTTTTTCCTCTTCATTTCCTAGGAATAGAAAGATTTGATTTGGTAAAGGGATTTCCTTCCTTATACCTCTTTCCAGCCTAAAACATTTTACCAGTCAAGACTACATCCAAAATCATTTGTGTATCTTGAATAATATTAGCACTTATTTGCTTTGAATTTAACATTTATGGAGCACTTTAATATAAGAATAATCTCATTTTATCTTTGTAGTTTTACAAGTTCAGGCTTATGTCAGTCACCTGTTTTGTACAAGAGGAAACTAAGGCTCAGAGAAATGAAAAATAAAACCATGAGAGCCTCAGGGATCTTGATTCACTTAAGGAAGCCTCTTTAGGCCCTGGTAACCATGTGACAATAAAAGTGAAAGCAAAGAAAACCCATAATGCAGACATCTTCTTTGTTTTTTGATTTTGAAGTACTGGGATCAAACCCCAGGACCTCACATATGCTAGACCAACACCATCACTGAGTTACATTCCCTGTCTTTTTTTTTTTTTTTTTTTTTTTTTTTAAGGAACTTCTTTGTTAGGAACCATTTCTTTTGTTTGTTTATTTTTATGTGGTGCTGAGGATCGAACCCAGTGCCTCACACATGCAAGGCAAGTGCTCTGCCACTGAGTCACGACCCCAGTCCCATTCCCAGCCCTTTTAATTTTTATTTTGAAACAGGGTCTCACCAAGTTGCTGAAGCCTTGAACTTTCCATCCTCATGCCTCAGCCTTTCAAGTAGCTAGGATTAAGGTGTGTGCCACCACACCCTGCTTTAATTCCTTTCTAGTCTTTGCATAAAATATTTTGGACTGGGTGTGTAGCTCAGTGGTAGAGTGCTTACTTAGCTAGTATTCTTGAGGCCCTGAGTTCAACCCCCAACATAAAGAAAATAATTTTTTTTTCCTTTTTTATTGCCATGCTAGGAGTTACCGATATTACATTGAACCATAGCAGCCATTGTAGCAATGTTCTCATATCACTTAAGACACCTCCTTTCTGTTGCTAGCTTTCAATGGTTTTCATCATGACTAGGAGCTGAAATGTATTTGTCTATGTAGAATTTTGAGGTGGGGCTGGGGTTGTGGCTCAGCGGTAGAGCACTGCCTAGCATGTGTGAGGCACTGGGTTCTATCCTCAGCACTGCATAAAAATAAATACATAAAATAAAGGTTGTGTCCAACTATAACTAAAAAATATTGGAGGGGGGGAGAATGTTGAGACCTCAGGCTGGAGAATAATGGTAGTAGCTTGATTATGAATCTGTCTCACACCCTCCCAAAAGAACCATAAAATAAAGTAGAACCGGGCTGAGGTTGTAGCTCAGTGATAAAGTGTTTGCCTTGTATGTGTGAGGCACTGGGTTCAATCCTCAGCACCACATAAAAATAAATAAAGATACTGTGTGTTCATCTACAACTAAATAAAGTAGAACAAATAAAAACTACACATGAAGGCTGGTGCCTTCATGACTAGAGTACTGCAACTTCAAATTACCTGTAAGTAAAGGGAAAAAATTTTAAGAGGGCCCATGAGTCCATGGAGGATGATGAGACGGAGGTTAAAAGACTGCATGGGACAGAGCAGAATGGAGTAGAGAACCTGGAGGAAGCACAAAAATCTCCAAGAAGAAAAGGTGAAACAATAAAGGTGCCCTGTCCCTACAACAGGACCAGGATTGGCAACTTCATAGAAGCAGTGTTTCTGGTTAGAACCACTTACAAAAAGTACTAAAAGGGGAAATGTAAATCTCCAGAAGAAAAAGGAAAGCACATCAAACGTTCTCCCACCCCCACCAACAAAATCCTCAAACTCCACAAAAGGAGGCAGAGCTGACAGAGGACAGCAAAGAAAATTCCTTTAAAAAGCATATGAAAGGGGGACTGGAGTTGTGGCTCAGTGGTAGAGTGCTTGCCTAGCACATGTGAGGTACTGGGTTCGATCCTCAGCACCACATACAAATAAATAAATAAAGTTATTGTGCCCATCTACAGCTAAAAAAAATGTTCAAAAAAAGTTAAGTTTGGTACTTTAAAAAAAAAGCATATGAAAGGGCTGGGGCTGTAGCTCAGTGGCAGAGCTGCTTGCCTAGCATGCACAAGGCCCTGGGTTCGATCCTTAGCACCACGTTAAAAAAAAAAAAAAAAAGCATATGAAGCCAGGCACAGTAGTGCACACACCTATAATCCCAGCAATTTGGGAGGCTGAGACATGAGGATTTCGAGTTCA